AAGAAATTTAGGATAAGATGTTACCATGCCCGTACATCCTTCTGCTGGAATTCAGTCCCCCTGGAGCAGGGATGGCTCAGCAGGACATGTGAGAGCACCACACACACTGGCTCCAAGTCTGTGCCTTCACCTCAGCCACTGATGAGGCTAAATGAATTCATAGCTGCATCTGCTGAGAGCTAAATCTACCAGAGCCTAGGGCTGAGTCTGTGGGTGTTACTATTCCCCTGACTCAGACAGAAATATCTCCCAATGCAAATGCAGGCCTGAGCTTGTGTAGAGCCCCAGAGCCTCTGTCAGGGTCCTCTCACATGTGGCACTCCTTAAGGGTTTGGCACCCGCATGAGCAAGAGCGGCTGCTGATGAGTAAGGCCTGCTGCTAGATTTTGGAATGTGCTGTATACCAGCAGAGCTGGGTTTGCCTCATTATCATGCAGAGCAAAAGAGTTTAGAAATTACATTCCACTCCAATTAAAACCAAGATGGACAAAAGTCACTGCCTAACACATGAGCAAGGATGTAATGGGGGACTGGTTCTGGTGGGAGATAGAGGTTTGATTTTGGCTTGCACAAGACTTTAAGAAAAGCATTTTAAAATGAAACCATTAAGATGCAGCTAAATTGGCATTTGCATGTACATTCACACAGTATTTAAAAAAAAATAAATATTAAAGGAGCCATGTTATTTATAAGGGCTTGAAGTCAAAATTTTGTCTTAAAAGAGCTTTATCTGAAATATACCTGAAAGGTGCATCCCTATATTCAGCATGCCAAACCTTCCAGATGAGTCATTAATTTGGCTTTTACACTTGAAACAACTTCAACACATAAAAAGGAAGAAAATATTATAAGATTTTCTGCCTTTCTACAGCACAAACACACTACAGCCAAAACAGCAATTTCTTCATTGAGCCCCAAAACAAAATGATGTGCAGGTAGACATCATTTAAAGGAGCATCCAGCCATGGATGGATTGGAGCTGATGGCAAAACTAACACAGCACTAGTTCCTAGGTAACTAGTTAGTAGTTATTAGGTAACTCAGAATAGGGGTTCATTGTCCTGTGTGCTGAGAGCACCCACCTGCATATTTTGAGTGGACACATCAATACTGTTATCTTGATTACTGGTGGTGGTAAGGACACATTATACAGTCAGACAAGGGCAATTCTTCTGTGACTGCATGTCCCTATATAGGCAAATGATTCAGTCAAGTTGTATTCATACCTGTTATTTTCTACTTTGAAATATCCCTGAGTCACACAGCTGGAGATTTCGGTCTGTCTCTAACATTAATTAAGCAATCTTCATTACTCTCTCAGGCTGGGCAATAGCATTGTATAATATCAGCAAATTGAGCAGTTTTAATTTCAAAATCCTTGTGCTAACTTCCTTATTGCAGTATTTAACACTTTTCAGTCGCCAATACACTTCCTCACTTTAAAGAGGAATTAAGAATTTATTGAAGGACTGGATTCACCAGCAAGGAGAGCCACCACTTCCTGCACCCCTTCCATCATAGGGAATGCTGAGAGCAGGGAGCCAAATAAGTCCCACATCCCACACAAATTATTGCCTTGTGGCAGTGTAAGAGAGGGTGCAGAAAAAAATCCTCCCAGAGGCACAGGCTGTCAGATCAGGGCCAGCACCAGGCACACCAAAATAGCCCATTATCCAGGACAGCAAAGTACTAGGGGGCAAAGAATCCATGATCCAGCTGCCTGTTCTGCTGTGCTGGAGCTTTGGAAAACTGCCACTGAGAGAGGGGCCAGGGTGTGTGGAGCAGCAGGTTTGGCAGGGAAGAAGGTGGCTCATTCCAGCAGCTCAGACACCACTTGCACCCCTCCTGTCTCAGCAATAGCTGAGACAGCCAGCCTGGCTTTCCAGGGCTGCCAGCCCCCAGCAGCTCACTCTGCTACCAGTGCCCACCGGGGCTGCCACCAGTGACAGACCACACAGTCTGCCTCTGCCACGATTCATTTAGCTCTGCCTGCCTGGCACATCGTGGGATGAGATAGAGATGCTCAAATGATGCCAGAATGTACCTCCTGCTCCAGACTCACACATCAAACTGCCCATAATAAACCCATTTGAAATACTTGCAGGTCTACAAAGCATTGATCTCAGTTTTCAGACTACAGCCGCTACTAAAAGCATCCTTATCTTTAATTAGCCCTACCTGGTTAACAGAAGTTACACCTAATACACCTTTGATACAGCTGACATCCTTCATACCCCTCTAAGTCCAGTCTCCTTATATAGTAGTCACATCCACAGCTAGCCTATGCCTTGAAAACACCTCCAGTCCCACTGTTCCAGGGGCAGCAGTGCTCCATCTTTCCTACACACATCCATGAGTCCAGATCCACACTGTTCTAGGAACCTCAGTCCCTTTCACAGCTTGTATTAGCATCTTACCCAACATCCCTGAGTTCAGCTGTTCTTGTACAAATTCATGGCATTTGCTGGTAAATGCCAGTTTTTTACATAAGCAAGTAAAACTTCTATATAGTCTAATTCCTGGAGTCTGGATTATGTGTGAGTCAAAACGCATATTTCTAGTGTTGCTGTATGTGCATCACTTGCTGGCTTCACTGTTGTCATCTTTCCCTTTTCCCTACAGACTGCTGCTTTGGTCTCCATGAGCTCTGGGCAAGTGTTTGCCTGCAAAGCACATTCAGGTGGGTGGTGACTCAAGCCATGTGATTCTATGGTGGCATGTGAATATGCTTGGGAGGGGGTACTCCTGACAAAAGATGTGGCACTCACCTACCTCTGACTATCAGCGATGAATACCTTCTTAAAAAATTCTCTGCAAACACTCAGACACGGGTAGTTAAGGTCCACACATCCTTGAGCCATTCTCTGTCACTGAATAGTTTGTCTGCTACCATAAATATGTAATACTAAATTTTAATGCATCCTTTAAACATATCCCTAGGTTTTTAATACACCTAAACAAGTGGAAAAGTCAGGACTATTTGATTGACATACCAGTAAATGGCTTCTCAATACTTTCTTAGAGTATCAGTTTTGGAATCAGAAGTATTGACTTCAGAAATGCATTCTGTTCTCGAATTCTTCATTGAAGAAAGTAAAAAACAGTATATCTTGTTTATAACCACTACACTAAATGAGTGCCCCTTCTGCCTCTCCTAGAAAACATGAAAGTCTCTCTCTCATCCATTGCTATCTTCACTTCTGATCAAGGATCTTGTTTGTTAGGGACTGATTGAAATTTATCAGGATGGGAACCCTTCACTCCTCTGATGAACAAAAGAGTATCTGGCAAAGATAAGCACACAGGTTTGCCAGGGGTACTGAACACATTGATAAGTCTTTGGGTAACCCAGCTGAGTGTCACCTGGCCATGCAGGGGGCTCCTTCTCTTCCGAGGGTCTTTGTAAAAGCCCAACAATGACATCCATGTAGTCTCATATTCAGAAGTCAGATAGGTAAAAGGGGAAAAGTCTTCTCCATGCACACGTGTGCATCTCTTTGCCTAATGATCCCTTTGGACATTTACATGCTTTTGAAACTACTCATGACTGGTGAGCAGCTCCTGTGAAAACTTTATCTATATTTTATTGAAAACACCAGCAGCAATTTGCAAAGCATTGCAAGTTAGGTCAGCTTTGCAAAGGTTGTGAGAGAGACAGGCCCTCTGAGTCACATGGACAAGGGGTGGCCATTTGAAGCACAGAGGAACTTTGATGTAGAGAAGATTGTTACAGGTTCACCTCCTCAAATGTCAAAGCTTAAAATAATCGATAGAAGAGAAATAAATAAAAATTTAGCAATTTTTAGAGTTTGGGGTTAAGTAGGATTACAACTGTAATATTAATTGTAGTCCAGTTAGAAGATACACTTCCATTACAGTTGCAAGGATCAAGCCTTTGGGGCTCTAGTCTTGGGACAGAAAGAAAGACACAGGAAAAGAAATAGCCTCTCCTTTCTTTTCAAGCTGTCTCCAACAGCAGCTGTTTTTATTCTGTTGTTCCACACACCCACAGAAAAAAAGAAACAGGCTTAGTGAATCTCTGTACCTCAGAGTAGTTTGCAAACCAAAGTTAACACCACCAACAACAAATAGGTCCTTCATACACTTCCATTAACACTGGAAACAGTCCCAGAGCAACCACCATAGTTCCAAACAGTCCAAAAGGCAGAACTGAAGTCAGGATCCAAATTTAGAGCTGCATGCTGTGGTTCAGGCTATGAAAGAAGAAAGCAGGCTTTCTCCTCTGTAGAGCCAAGAAGCTTACGCCCAGCGCATGATTTCAGGGAGTGACCTTCTCTTTATAAGGATACATCATAGTGCCTTCAAAAATATTGAAAAGCAGAGGATTCACAGTTGATGTCCCAGGGTCTGCTGGAGTGACCCCAGGGACAAGCAGGGGAAATATTTGTGGAACATATGAGTTCACAGAGATTGCAGAATATCCATAAAAAATTTGAAACACCTTCTTTCTAAGCTATCTTGTATCTTGGATATACTGTAACATAACAAACGAGTGATACATGTGACTTCTTAAAACAGCATCTAACTAATCCACAGCACAGTTTTATGCCCTTCTCTCAGCCTGCTGTCAATTTTATATTCACATTTCCTATATAGCATCTCTTTCTACTACTCATGACAGCCCCATCAGTCACAAAATCATGTTATATACTCAGAAAGACTTTGACAGCTGAAAGAATTCAGCAAAGGACCAGAGAATGCTTAAGTAATCTGTTCACATTTTACCCAGTCCTGCAAAGGCTGAGGGATCAACTGATGTTTTGCTGTTGTGATGTGCCTCCTAAAAATTCTTGGGAGTCCTGGCATAGTCCACATAATGACACACAGAGCAGAGGATTTTTGTGCTGAAGTCCCTGTGTCCATGAGGAGGTACACTGGCACTTGAGGAGAACTCTGGGAAAGGAAATCAAGCCCCTGCACTATATAATCTTGTCTCTTCTACCTTCATGCTCGACAGTTATGGATTTTTCTTTGCTTACCTGCACAGCAGGAGTAAATGGTGTTGATAAGTCCAGCCCTGTAAAAGGTATTAATTCTTCTATTACATGGAGAAGTACACAGATAATAGACAGATTTACAGAGCTTTCTCTTCAGCTTTTACCTCTTATTCCATAACATTTTCACCCTCATATAAAAGGACACAGCTGCTATCTGCTATACACTCTAAATAACCAGTAATAACAAACCAAAATACAATATTTTTCCAGTAACATCTGCCATATGTCATGGAATGACAACCATTTGATATAAGCATATCAAAGCAATGTTCAGGTCATTAGAATAAGGCTTGTAAGGTGATGAGCTCAGAACGATCTCTGATAAAAACTCCTGTAAAGTCTCCATTATCCTAAACAGATGATGGACTATGGCCTCTGAACTAAAAAGAACTTTGTTCTCTCTTCTCCTGTTACTTTCTGTTTTGTCTGTCTCCAGCTCTAATTCAGATAAAGCTGATGGAGTTGTGGAGGCTACCTGCCTTCTGCTGTGCTGCTGCTGATCCACTGTCTCAGTTGCCATAGAGACGAGCTCTGGAAGCCATGGAAGAGCATGGGAGAGAAGCCACCCACAGGCTCTCCACTGGTGGGCTCTGGCAGGGCCATTCTCAGCAGGTACTAAGAGAGTCAGGTTCGGTCTCTGAAGGTGAGGAAGAGTCAACAGGTGCTAACCCAGTGACACATGAGGGGGACTTGCACACACATTACATTGCTATTCAAAGAAATTCCAGATATTACCGATCCATGAGGCTGCCGAACAGAGGGAAAAGGAAGACTTCGAGAGAGACAATGCACATGCATCATACCACAGGTGAGTACTGACCCAAACAGCATTATGCTGCTTTTTCCTGTGAGATTAGGAGCTAGAGGAGTCAATAGAACAGAAGAAGGACAGGAAGATAGAAAGCAGCTCAGCAGTCAGCACATAACAGAACAGCCCTGCCCTACAGCACAGAAGGCAAAGGAGTGCCATTCTTCTTTTCTCGGCTTGGAAATGTAGAATGGTTGGATGTTTAAAGACACTTCATGACAGAGAATCTAAACATATGTGGGACTCTGCACTGCCACCCTTCTGCTTTCTAAGAGAAAAATAACTTAGACATGAAGTTGTTGATGAAGTAGGGACTTCTTTAGCATACAGAAGTTACATATTCAAAATGCAATGTCATTACATTTTGTCAGTAAAACCAGAGGAAGTGGCAATGGTTCCTTGTGAGGGAGGAACAAGGCTTCTGTGAAAGTGCAGTTAGTGCTACTTTGCACTGAAGAGAGCTGTAAGAAACACCTAGGCTCCCTTTAAACAAGGAGGCTGAAATAACAGGAACACCATCCAGAACGTGCATGCATTCAGCCATAGCTTCAGTAGAAAAGGAATGAGTTGGCTTTCCCTGAGTATGAACAGTACACAGCATGACTACAAGGCCAGGCTGGAACCAGACATCTTTCAGGTTTCAGGGCTGGAACCTTGTCTGAGCTGATGTCTGTGAAAGAAGCAAAAGAAAGAAGAAAGAGAGAGCTAGGAAATGAGCTACTGCAACACACTGAGAAGCGCTGAAAACAGGGCTGCATGAAGGAAATTGAAGTTGTTTTATAAGTCATAAATGAGAGAGACCTGGAACTGGAAACGTAGAAAATGCCCTTTGCTTCCATCTCCCAGGTGCTTTGAGAAACTGAATTTTAAAACTCCTTCCCAGCAAAGTTACGTATCCTATCTTCAGGTTATAATCTAACAGAATCAATGCACTGGACTATGAACTTTCGATAGCAGTATGAATCAAAATGATACATCACAGTTCATGTTCAACTGCTCTGCAGACCACTGAAAGCTATTACTTTGATATGTAACAGTGAAGCCACCTCTTCAGCTCCTGAAAGCAGACCAAGTTCTTTAAGAAAAAAAACAAGACATGCTCCACCCCCCAAGTAAAAGGGGTGTGGGAAATGTCCCCAAGAAAATAAGTGTATCCCGCCTGCCTCGCCGAGGGAGTTATGCTACTTCAGCAGTATAAAGGTCCATTCAACTCCGTGGCATGGACAGAAGGAAAACTCCCTCCTTTCTCCAAGTTTCCAAGCAGACAACAGCAAAGAGCTCCTGTTTAATATTCTACTACCGTTGCAATGAAGTTTGTGGATAAACTGAGTGTTGCCTATGCCAGAGCAGAGCTGGTCTCCACCCTGCGGGTGCAAAAAGGACCGGAGCAGGCGCGCTCTGCCCGCCTCCCAGAGCGCTGCTGCAGAGCTAGCACCGCACAGCCCCTCCCTCCTGCTCCCGGCTGTCACAGCGTCCCCACGGCTCCTCACCCCTGCCACCTGCAGCTGCCAGTGCTGCAGCACCGGCACAGACAGACTCACCTTCTTCCTAGACCTGCAGCATCATGGCATCAGGACATTGGCAGAGGAGGACATCCCTTATATCTGGCCAGTGTCATTGAGGAAGGACAAGCTAAGAGAAGGGCTTCTCTCTTAGCAACTCATTAGAGCATCCACGAGGCTGACCTGTGCTTCTCGGCCACTCCCCTCCCTATATTACCACTGCTGAAACAGGATTGGTTCCAAACAGGGCTTTTCCTTCCATGTCTGCAATTGTTCAGCAAGACACACTGGGAACGTGTCTTTTCTCCAGTCTGTACAGCAAGACCTGGGCTAGGAGCAATAGTTCTTTCTCCAAGGTAACTGTAGCAAGTCCTCCTCAGAGCTACGGCCTTTAAATCCACCTAGGATTGTGTAAGCAGCATTTCTCTCTCTCTATTTCCCTGAATTCATTCCATCTCCCTGAAACTGGACAGAGGGTGCTTCTAAACCAGCCTCATTTGTAGCAGGAACTTATGACAGCATTTGCTGACATGCTTGGAAGCAAGGGATGGGTGAGTTATTTTATATTGCCTTCCAACCCATTTGAACAGCAGCTATCCAAGGATGTGACTCAAGCTCAAATGTTAACCTGTTCTCATTTTACTCAGGGAACAACTGGAGGGGAGGAGAGGGGAAGGCAAGAATACAGGAAGAGACAGAAAAGACAGAAGAGAATATAAAATGAGGAAAATAAAAACTCAAGAAATGCAATCACAGAAAAACAATTTAAAATTATCTAAATCCAGCTGAGGGAAAGGCTTCCATACAAGCACCCTTTGCTAAGGATGGCAAAAGCAGCCCAGCTTTGACTTATAGCCTAGGAGCTGTAAAACATAATATATGCTTTTCTTTAACTGGAAAAAGAATTGTTGCAATCTTTTTTGACAGAAGGATAAAGTGTTTAAACTACTCAAAGTGAATAACTCAAATTACTATTTCATAGGGCCTTGGCTCTGTTTTAGAAGGTTTTAAAACTCTGTATGTCATCCCTTCCCTTTGAAAATTGATTAAAAAGGTGCATCAGAAGCATGATTCAGTCAGAGCACTGACCTGACTGTGCCGTCACCAGTGTGAAAGACAAACAGAATTATGACTTAGACCAAAATATTTCTAATAAAAAACATAAGGCCATTTATTAATAAACCTCAAACAATGGGAGATTTCATATGAAAAGTGAAATGCACCCTCTCCTGCCAACTACTGCAGTAGTAAGCCTTGGACTTAATGCAACTTTGACTCACTGTGAAAGGATCAGTGGTTCATCTCAGGGAAATTGAAGAAGCAATTAAAAGTAAAGCTCTATCTCACCAAATCTAACCTTGATTTATCTACTAAACTGAACATCTACGGTGTGCCTGAAAGCAGAGCAGTAATGATGCCTTAATTTGGGAAACCAAATATTGGCATGCACAGGTACACACAGCTGAACATTTTCTGCTTAAATAATTGCACTGAAAATCACTCATGTTGGGACCCAACCTGCAGTGGTGAGAGTGCTACTCCCATACCTAAGAACTGATACCCTAAATCCAACTTCACCTTTTCTCAGCTGCATTTAAGCTGAGAAAAGCAGCAGATGACACTGATCTTGTTTGAAAATCAAAGCTAAAATGTAACCACCTTTGTGTCTATGGTCTTTCTGTTGCCTTTGGTGTCAGCAAACCACTACATATAGTAAAGGTAAATAAAGAAAATTACTATTTTAACACCCTCTTGGCTTTCTCTTATATCACAGGTTCGCTCAGAAACAATGAGCCCATCAAAGAGCCTCTGAATGTTTTATCTCATAAGGGATCACCATCTCCAGCAAACTCTGATCAAACAACATTAGATGAATTATTGATCCAAAGGTAAGGAGGTTCCCATGCAGGGTATTCCCCTTGCCTTCCCTGAAAACTAATTAGAGTGGTGTCAGAGTGAGAATGCTTCTTTTGGGAAGGACAGCTGGACTAAGCTGTAGCTCTGATCCATGCCTTCTCACCTTGACTTGTGGTGCTGCTTTCAGTCTTAATGACTTATACAGTATAGTACTAGCATGGTGGTAAAAGGGTTTTATCAGTGTGAGCTTGAGGAAGACAGTGAAGGAAAAAGGGGGAAAAAGAAGAGAGTGGGGAAGATGGAAAAAAGGGTAATGTGATGCAGAATCACCCAGCAATATTAGCAAACTGGGCAGACTGCCTTAAGCAGTTACTTGAGAATAGGAGAGCCTGTGGGCATTTCATTATGGAACATCCCAGCATCAGGGTAATCCTATTCTTGGCCTTCACAGAGCGCTCTCCTGAAGCCTGTTACACAATCCCATATGAAAAACAGGATTTTATAGCTGAAGAAGTAGATACAAAGATGTTTTCTAAAGTATCCAGACTTTTTGTTTGCTGTTTACTTTAAAGAACTGATAAGCAACAGAGGCTTTCAGTGAGGTAGTCCTTTTTGGCTTAAATCCCTCAACAACAAAGGTCCAGTGAAGACCCTGGTCCCACAACTCAGAAATCTATAGATATTCCATAAATCTGCCCTCACTCCTGCTCTCTCACCACTGCAGCCAGGCAGAGAGAGGAGTAGCTACCTATCCCTACACTTTCAAATATAACTGAGGTTTTCTCCCAGACTCCTTCTCCAGCTACTCACCTCCTGTGTGTACAACTGTGAGATAGTCCCTCCTTCCATTGTAGATCAAGCTGGAAGCAGTAAGCATGTGTCCTCTAAAGGGGGCATGCATCCTTCTGCATCATCTGGTCCTAATCACTGAGACCAGCTGTCTTGGGTGCTTTCCCAGGCACCTTTCCTTATGGAGAGGACTCAAACAGAACAATTTTAGCCAAATGTCAAGTTGTATTTAAATAAATTAATTGCCTTGGCTAAAATTGATTGCCCCTTGGCCATAAACTGAGCATATGAAACTAGACAGCCACAGTCTGCTGCGATGTTAGACCCATCTGTCTTCCTCTCCTTGGGGCATAATCATCACTGTCAGTCTGACATCCTGACACTGACACTTAGGCAGCTCTGAAATGTGCAATTTCTGATTCTCCCTGGAGCTGGAAACAATGAGCCTGTGCTAGGAGATAGTTTTATCAAAGACTCTGCTGTGCACAGAGCCTGGCAGGTCAGTACAGGTTCTAACTCATGTGTCTGCTAAAAGCAGGCAGTCCTGCTGAGTGGCATCTCTTGAAACTGAGCACAGAGATTTAACAGAGAATGAGACCAAAGTTCCAGCTCAAATTCATCTCATGTCCTCTTTCCTTCTCCAAAAGATCAGTTGTAATTAATAAGAGAGGTACTAGAAATCTGCATTGGGAAAGCCTGCAAGAGCCTAAAAAATTGACATTATTTGTAGTAATCAGTAATATCTCACTTCTATTTGGAAAAAATGGCCATTATGCAGATAAGTAATTTAAAATATTATTGCTAGTCTCAAGAAATGCATTTTATTTAACCCAAAAGAATAAATCTGGTGCCTTCCAGCTAACCATTCTTCTGAAAACAGAAGCTAGCAGTTCTGCAGAAGGGACAGTACAGGCTCCTCTGACCAGGACATTCTCAGGAGTGGATCATCACAGTCCTGAGTGCAAGTGGGGCAGCAGTGCTGCATCTCTTCACATTCAGAAGCATCCTACAGAAACCATATAAATACTAGGGCCGTCACAATCCCTTCTCCTTGCGTGAAGATAACCAGCAGGTCTGACACAAATGGGCTCTTCATAGGCAAGGATGTCATTTCACATATAGCCATGCTACATAGTTCAGGGCAGGAAGTAAACACAGCTGGGGAACATAGTAAGGAGCTCAGGAAAAGAAATTGTCATCTGCATTCTACTCAGATGGGATTTTGATTTGAATCTACATGTCTTTCAAAGCTCTGAGAATAGTAGAGTAATTCACTGATCTCAGAACACTGATGTCTGAACAAAAGACGTCCTCAAACATTATTGCTGGTGTTCCAAACTCTGGATGGCCATGGGCTATCTATAAGATACTTCCTAAGGGAGTTTTTATGTCTAACTATGCTCAAATTATATTTTTTTCCCCATGAGCTTTCTTTTACACCATCTCCAGCTCCCCATAAGCACTCTAGACTACTCCAGAACATTCCACAGCTTCCTCTCAGTCTCGCCCATTGTACAAAGGTCTAAACCCCTGCAATGCCAAGTCACTTCCCAACAACTTGGCTGATTTGCCCTGAGCATCTCAGTGCTGTTCAGTGTTGTTCTAGCACAACTTCTACTTCCCAGAGTGACCAGGGAAGGAGCTGAACTCATAAAAAGCTGCTCTTTCACATTGGGATCAGTCCTTCCAGCTCCGGTGTGGCAGCAGTTGTGTAAAGCTCATAGAAAGCTGTCACAGAAGATACACTGGAAGAGAAATGCAGTATGGAATTTCACTTTGCAAAGCTCATGGAGGCCATTGATCTACCAGTGCAGAGCAAATAATTTCTTTATGCTGCTTATGAAACCTCCAATTCAGATAAACAGTGACCATCTAAAAACCCTTTGATCACCTTTGATCTGAGCTCAAAGAACGTAAGTGCTACAATGGTGAATACAAATAGTCACCTCCAACAGCAAGAGGGAAACTAACTTGTTTGAATTCCTGCAAACACATGTATTAGAGAGAAGCAGTACCCATGTGAAATAGCACAGCACTCTGAAGGCTGCTCATGTGAGTTTGGGTTAGCATCCCTTAGCCCAGCACTCTCGGTCCTGGGCAGCAGAGGGCACTGCTTTTATAGCCTGATTTAACCAGAAGAGCAAGAAAAGCCTCTGGAGAGTTCAGGACCTGGATTGCAAAAGGATTTATACCACACTTGACCAAGTTTCCTTCTACTAATGAAATACATTTCCTAAAGTTGCCTCCTCTTTATGCTGCCAATGGTGTTTCAATTGCAGGTGGTGAAGTCAGGAATAACTGGTGCAAACACCTGTTGACCAAATCTTTTAACTTTGTTGTTCTACAACAAATTTTTGTTCTTTCAGAGATAGATAAATAGATTTTTTTTTTCTATCCCTCTTTTTGTGCAATCTGCATCCTAAAAAGTCTAAGAGCAACCATATTTTCAGGGAGAAGTATTTTTAAAACTAATACATTTTCAGTAAAAATAGCCACTGTAGGTATTAAAATGTCATTACTGTAAAAATATCATATTTCACAGGATCACACAGAATAGCAAGCAATAACATACACAATTCTAATAAAGCATATAGCCAATGGAGATTCCAATCCCAGCCTGCCCACCTATTCCACCCAGTCTCTTCTTGCCAGGTTTTTCAGCCCACTCTGCAAGGTCTAGGCTTTGCCATCCAGGTCTCCCAATCTGATCTGCTTCATCTGGACATACCCTGACCCCCAAGTTCTCCATCAATCTCTTTGTTTCACTCCTTTTCTATCAGTTTCAACTTGTAAATCCCCACACAATTTCCTCAGCCTACTATTTCCCAGACACATTCTTCTCACTCCCCCCCTGTGGCTCATATCTCAGTGTCCTTTTTGTCCACAGGTTCTTACCATTTGGCTCCTTTATACAATCTTAGTATCCCACCCCTCCTCCTAGCTCCAGTGCCAAATTTTACGGTCTTTTCCAATTCACCATTTCCTGAAGCATCTGGTTCTGGGTGAGTTCCTCTCTTCATAGCAGTCCCCTGGTCCAGAAGTAAACCTCTTTCTCTCCATGCTTGAGTCTTGCTCCTTCTGTTTTTCAGTCAGGTGGCTTTCTCATCATGCTGATCGCAGAAATGGCCTTTATTCACAGTGCCTAGATCTGGACCAGGCAGCTTTTACAGCTATGACATCAGAAATTCTCCCAACCCTCAGCACAACACGCATTCTCTCCATGGGCAGGAGCTCAGGAATTTTAGGTACTAAAATCTAAGTCTAAAATTTGTGTGCACTGTGGACAGTGGAAAAGGGCCTATAATTCTATGGATTTTCATGAGTGCAGAAAAGATAAAGCCCTCGCAAGCCAAAATTTCATTTTGCATATCAACAGAAAGCAAAGTTTCTTGAAGGGGAGAACAACAGGATTTTTGTTTTCCTTTAAAAGAGATCCAATAGTATTTTCCTAAGTCTAATAAATATTTTTTTAATATATAAAAAATAACTTGTTTCTGGCAGACAGTCAGTAAGTAAAAATGTAACCTTGATGATTATGAGCATCAAAAGGTTAGAAGCACATAAAGATGTCATAAATGGAATTCCTGAACATTTTTAGTTATTTGTAAGTCTGCCAGTCCCAATAGACACAGCTAAGGTGTTTTGATGAAAGCTTAAGGAGCTTAAGAAGAACAGATATATTCCTAGCCTTTAGGATCTAAAAATACTAGGGATGAGAATTCCCACCCATCTACCATTAAAAAGTCAAAAATCAGGAATAGAAAGTGCCCAGACATACCGATTGCCAAAATCACTGTTAAAAAATACACATGAACAGAGGGAACCTGAATGAAACTGAGGTATGAAAAAGTCCTTGAGTAGGTACAACATTCAAATCTATTAGTAACTTCACACTTCTCAATAATTTGGTTAGCTCAGATTTAAAAAGTGCTTCTTACCTCATCTTGTGGCCTTTCTTGGTGTGAAACTCCCACTGACTAGAAGGGTTTGGGGAATTTTGCATGAATAAGATCTCCTGGGCTAGCTCTTCTCTTTTTACTTTCTAGAAGAAGAAATTTAATTTCTAAAAATTGCTGTAAGACAACATTTAGAAATGCATTTCAATTTCATTTAAAAACAAGCTCTTTGCAGGGCTTTATTCTAAGGATTGCTTTTGAGTTGAAATACACATAATAAATCTTAATTCAAATGATTACTCATTTTTCAAAATTACTAGTGCCTGAAAATACAAACCAAGATTGGGAATTCATCCCTCAAGCGTAACTTAAATGAGGTAATTGTGATAAACTAATTATAAACTCTCATCAATCATCACATTTTTAACACAACATGGACCAGGTTAGCCAGTGTTTAAAATCTTTTCCAGCAGCAGTTCCAGTGAAGCTGGAAACAGTCTGCAACAACACAAACCCTTCCTTGCAGAACATTTGCAAGCTCAAACCTCCTTCCCTTTGTCCACAGGGAGCTGAACCATGTCAGCAGAGCATGGCCACCAAGGATCATTTCCGGTGCCTTTATGCTTGCAGACTCTAAGAGTTCCAGAGACAAAACTGGAATTTGGTCTGTTGGGGCACTGCATGGCTTTTGTCACCAACAAGAGCAGAGGGCACGCAGCACCACTTCTACAGTGATGTGAGAGGATTATTACAGGGCTTTAATGTATGTTGTTCTAGTAGTTGGATTCTTTCTTTTTCCCTTCAACTAGACAAGGAGCTTTAGGAAGAATTGGAGGGATTTTGGTGAGAAAACTGGTTTGTCATCTTAAGTTTGTACTGATTTTGGTAACTGGGGAAAAACTCTTTAGGCTCTGTATCAAATTTCTTGTTGTTACTATGAGAGAGAAAAGTACACCTCCTCTAAACTCCTACCTCATGTTTAAGATCAGGTGGAGTAGGCACCTTTCCAGGTCTGAGCCTGCATTTCACAGCAGTGAATAATTATCCAAGGTGGCACTGCTGTGGTCCTGACACCCATCTGCACGTCTGCTACCTCTGCTCTGTTGGCACTCACTTTGAGCTCACTCTGTAGTGAGACAATATGCAGAGAGACCTAGTTCCACCAAAAAAAAAAAAAAAAAATTTCCAAAAGCTTAACTGCCCAGACCTGCTCTTCTGTGAATGGGATGAGCTTGAGTGAGTGCTGGCATAAAAGCAGAGGTAGAAATCTGCCTCAGGGAGTCAAGTGAAAAGTGGAATTGAGCAGCTAGGTTAGCTTGAACTGCATATAAAATCCTAACAATTGTGGAAGTAGGGAGGCATCTTATAGCTATTCTACTTCACAGAAAGAGTTCAGTATTGACTGACTTAAAGTAGTATCAGAATAAGGTGAATAAGGCATTCAGCATGTTCAAGAACCTTTTTGAGTGATCAGAGAAAGCCAAGCAGCTCCAGGAAGTGACAAACCTGCCCTGGAACAGGCAGTAACATGCAAGGGAGTAGCACATCTCTGACTCTGACCTGGTCCCCCACCCCCAGCATGAAGATCCCAATCGCCAGACCACTGTGACAGAATAACTTGATTGCCTGCCTTTAGTTTCCATGTCAAACTTTAAAAGCTTTCTGTTTTGTCCCGAAACAATAAAGCAAGACTTAGAAAATCCCAGCAAATTTTGTAGGACAAAAATATCTCCTTTTTGCTAAATATAATTTTTTTGTTCCAGTCCCATGAGTGCTGGGAACACTCTGTCACCTCAGTTGGGAGAAAAAGTATTTCTCGGGCACTTGTTTTGTTTATGTTTTTATATTCTCTGTATATCAGTGTGAAGTACAAGAATAAGACTGGGAAGGAAGAAAGAACAACATCTTTGAAAGATCAAATTACAATGAAAAAATAAACAGCCCTAAAGGAAGGACAAGTAGAGTACTGGTCATTGCTACACAGTGTAGCAGCTCTCTGAGACACAGAAACACGAGCTGGGCCTGCCATGGCCACAGGGGGCATTTCACTCCTAGCTAGTGTTTCACCTTTTCAGAGCTTCCACTGGGTTTGTTATCATTATTGCTTTCTGTGATATTTTCAAGTTTTCATCTCAGACCAAAAATAAAATCAGGTTGGAAAAAGTGAAAGAAAAGGGAAGACAGGCAGGATCAAGTTACCAGTTACAGTATCATAAGAAGATGCTTTCTATTTCTGAATGTTTTTCATAGCATGACCCAGACATTTTTCTAAGAAACAATTCTGATTTCCATCAGATTTAACTCTTGAGAGTGAAGCAACTGAAAATCTGAAAGATTTTTTTTTTTTCAGTTAATACATCAAAAAGTTATATTTAGATATATGTTCATTCTAGTAGTGTCACTTAAGAGCTTATACACTGATTTCACTTTACATACTAGAGAGAACTCCTCACTGCTCTTGGTCCTTCCCTTGAGACAACAGTAAACAGCATATCTGATTTTCCAGATTTCAGGGTAATGAAGAGGCTCCCTTTTTCTAAGAAAGAAACTTTTAAGAACCCTACTCACTCTCTAAAACCCTTGACAATATTCTTGCCCTGACAACAAGCCACCAAAAAATGAGCTTCACATAGTTGCTGCTGCTTTTATCCCTTCCACAAGGTTTTGGCCACCCTCTCACTCACCTGGCTGCCCCAGCCCCCTGATCGCCAGTGTTGGGATAACAATGGCTGTAATGGCTGATAACCCATCCTGACCATCTATCCAGTGACAATCTCAGCCACAGCTCTCAGGCTCTCATCCTCCTCTGTAAGTACAACACAGGCTCCAGCTCTCACCCTCACCCTGATATTTCCTTTTGGTTTCCTGGTTCTTCTGACCTCCTGGTCTGGGACTGGACAAGGATCACACGCAGCCCTCTCTGAGCCCTCAATGACATTCCCAGCTCTTTTTTCTTTCCCGTTTTGCTTCTTAATGACTTAACAACTGAGCTCTCCAGTGTGCCAGATCTAGATCTAGTTCACATAAGCTGAAGGAGTTTCTCTGGATGTATCGTCATGTGCTGATTAAAAGCTATCCTGACATATCATTTAGCAAAACCAATATAAAAATGGTAGAAAGGAAGCCATTTTACACATACAGACCAACACACCGATTTTATGTTGTTGCATAAATTACTCTATCACATACAGAAAAAAATCACAGTTATTTATGCAACAGGGAGAGAGCAAGCACAAGGAATAGCAGAGCATTTTCCCTCTGTTAACTCCTCAGCTGCAACGTGGTGCAGATGACATATTTTTTTGCTGAGGGCTATTAACGTGTGGTGAAGAGCTGCACCCAACCTGTCCACAAGCACTTGAAGTGATGCAAGTATGTAACCGTACTCTGGAGCTCAAAAGGATTTATCCCTGAGGCAGAAAAACAATTACCTGAACGAAGACATATGGATTACTGAGTACTGAGATACTTACTTCCTAAACGAGGGAATATATCCTTATGGAAGTAGCGACGCTAAGGAAGGGGAGATGAGGGAAATGACCGAGCGGGTGCGAAGCCCTGCCGGAGAAGGAGAGGCGGATAGCAGCCAATCCTGTGGGATAATCAGGAGTGCGCTTCCCGGCAGGAGGGATTAGGCTGAGTTTCCCAGTTACATTCCTCCATCTCAGGGTTTCACTCCTGAAGAAGTACACCATATGCACCAGATCTGTAAGCAGTTCAGGCGAACCCCCCTCTGCCACCCCCTTTCCTCCCTCAAAGCCGGCGCCATCCGCACATAAGCAGAGAGCTGCAGGGGATGGGAGGCAGCGCTGCGCCCCGGGGCTGAGGGACGGGAGGTCAGTGCCGGGGCAGGACCCCCTCCCGCTGTGGGGTGGCCGTGCATGGAGGAGAGGGGCTGTTGCATGAGGTGGGACGGGGTGTGTGGGTGCTCGCTGGGGGAGGGTGCCT